TAAGCCAGTCAAAGGAAAGGAAGGAATGTTACAGTTTGCCTCAAAGAATTAGTTTATTCTCAATCAGTAAATATTTTAGCTCCAGATTTTGACAATTCCTGGAAACTGTTTGGTATGTAGATTTCCCTTGGTCCTGGCGTTACTTACTCCAAGTAGGAGTAAAGCAAAGCAAACAGCGTGGGGCCCGCAGCCGGGGCTGAAGCCACTTGGCTAGAGGCCCCCAACTCTCTCCTCTGGGGCATAATGTGCATCTCACAGCACATGAGGAACACAAAACACCAATTCTCCCCTTCAGGGCTTACTGCACATGTTCCTTCACTCTCACCACGGCCCATGGCTCCTTCCTCCCTCTCCCTTCACATCTGCAAATTACTCTCATTTTCTATTTGCTTTTACTTTTTCAGGCTTATTTTTTCTTCCTTTTGCCTATTTCCATAAGACAATACTGCCCTTTGACCAAAGAGACAATGGCAACAAATTAGGAAACCTCATGAAATAAACTCCTAGAAAGACACATACTATTGAAATGGACTCAGGAACAAATAGAAAATCTGAATGGACCTGTCATAGGTAATGAGTGAATCAATCATCAAAAAACTACCCACAGAGAAAAGCTGGGGACCACATGGCTTTACCAATGAGTTCTACAGATCTTTTAAAAAGAATCCCAGTTCCTCAGCAACTTTTCCAAAAAGAAGAGGAAGAAACACTTTTCAACTCAGTCTATGAAGCTAATATTAACCCTGATACCAACAACTAACAAAATTATTGAAAGAAAAGGAAATTGCAGACCAAAATCTTTTATGAATATAGATGTAAACATCCTCAACAAAACACTAGCAAGCCAAATCCAGCAACATATAAAAGGGATTATACACCAGGGCTAGGTGGGATTTATCCTACAAATTCGAGAAACATGAGACAAATAAGAAGGGGCAGTTCTGGTATGAAGCCCAGATGCAGCACATCCCCCACTCCTGCACCCGGTGCTGGGTCTCAGTCTGTGTCAGGGCGGGTGGGAGGCGTGGGAGGAACCAGGGGTCACAGTGTTTACCCCCTTCCACGAGGAGGTGGCTCCCTCTCCTGTGTACGGGGACTGAGAAGTTGTTCTCTGCTCTTCTGACCTATCCGTCAAGCTGCAAAGATCAGAGACTCACAGAGAGCTTTGAGCTGGTTGGGGCTTTAGGGACACGTTAGTCCCCCTCCCATTTGTAGTGGCGGAAACTGAGGGCCACAGAGGCAGGACGACGTGCTAACAACCAGGGAGGTAACTGGTGGAAGCCAGGAATGGAGCTCTTGCTCCCGGCTTCCTTCCCATCCAGGCTCTTCCCCTCACCCGAGTCACGTCCATTGCTGTCTAGTTGCTCAGTGTGGATGAAACTGACCTGCTGATCTTGTCACCATGGAAACCAGGGAGATGATAATAATAACAACATAGCTGATACTTACATATAATTCTTACTTTGTGCTAGGCAAGGTTTTAAGTGTTTTACATACATTAGCTCCCTTAATCCCCATAGAAACTCTACAAGGTAAGGGTATTGATATGTTCCCATTTTATGAATGAAAACACTGAGGCAGAGAGAGGTTAAGCTACTTGTCAAGGTCACTCATCTAGACAGTGTAAGAAGTCTGGCTCTTTGCACAATTAATCCCCACATGCTCTTCAAAAGGAGGTAAGAAAGGCCTCTGTAAAGCCTGGTGCTTGACTATGAAGTGCTTTCCATGTGAAAGAGAGGTCTCTACACCCTTTTTATCCCTACTGGACCATGTTGACCCAGGGACCAGTCTCCAAGACTGTGCTATTTACCAAATCTGGAGCGGAAGTAGCAGGATTTTTAGATTTTTGTCTCTGATAGGGAGAAGGTGGGCCATGGGACTCAGTGACGTACAGCTACTCTACTGTGGAGTCCATGGGAGGGAGGGGGGAGACACTGGTCCAAAAAGTGTAAGCACAATGTCATGAATCTGAACTTAGGGGCGCAGATGGCATTGGGGTTGAGGCGGCTGAAGTGTTACTGTACAGGAAGGCTCCCGGGGGACGACATGTACCTTGGTCATTCCTTTATATCCCACGGCACTTTCAGCACCCTGTCCTACAAGCTCTTCAGGAAAGATCTGTGTATGGCTGGACAAAGAGACGAATGAAGTTTGTGTTTGTACGTGTGTGTGTGTGTGTGTGCGTGCACACGCGCGCTGGTGGCCACATGGTGCTGTGGGATGTGGTGTCTTCTGCCTCCACATGGGTGAGCGAGGCAGAGGGGGCATGAAGTCGGGGTGCAGTCGGCCTTGGCAGGTTCCCCAGGCTCACAGGTCCTCATGCAGCCCCTGACTCAGGACGCCATGGTTCCTGTGGTCGGGACTGAGCAGGACTCACTGCAGGTCAGAGCTCTTCCTGAGACCCCGAGCTGACTGGCACTTAAGGCGTGTGGACCCACACTTGAGGCTCATCTCCAGATAAAGGGGAGAACACGAGAGCAAGGAGCCCCAAGGTTTTAAATACCCTCATGCTTCCTGACAGAAGAGTTCAAGTGAGAGATGAACTGATGCCTTAAAAAGAATTCATGCTTTGGACTCAATGATAAGGGCTTAGCAATGGCAACTGCTTCACCATTACAAGCTTCTTGTTAATCTCATAAGTGTTCTCTATACACAATCCTTATGGCATCAAGACCAGTGCCTTCAGGGTCACTGTTTACTTGGGAGATGGCCTTCCCGTGGGAATAGGCAGTGGCACCCGAACCATTCCTGCCAGGCCAGTGCCCTCGGGGGTATGCCCTTCAAATGGGGTTACGGTGCGGTCAACTTGGACCAGACTCCAGAGGGCATGAGAGCAGTTTGATGACTCTGATTAACTATACAGACTTCCCTGCGTCCTTTGTTAAATCTGCCCTCTCTCACTCTCATAGAGGCACATAGTAGGTACTCAGTAAATGTGTGGGATTAATAAATTATGCCCTCATCTCATCTTAACATAAAGTGGCTTAATAGTGTCAACATCTTGAAGGTAGCCTTGCTTACTTTTTAAATCTAGTGAAAGCGTACAGCATGGTGGGATCAGTACTGCAGGAGTCACAGGGTAAAACTGACATAAGTTCATTGGTTTTGAGAAGGACTAGTGCCGTCGGTGGGGTCTCCTAGTGCAGGTTCCTACTTCCTTTACGTATGTGTCTGTGTCTTGTCCCTGGACACTGCCTCCCTGAGGGCAGATGGACGGCACTCCACAGACCCTGCATGCCTACCACCAGCTGAGTCTCTAACACACAGCAGGGACTCAGGAAGAGTTACTGAATTAACGAGAGGTCATATGCTCAGTGTGTGAAAACACAAGTACACATCACAGAAGTGATCGGTGGATGCTGTGTTCAGAACTCCTTCTTCCAGGACATTTACTGAGCACCTGTAAATAGCTGAGAAAGACTATTGAGCATGGACACAATTGTCTTCAGTGCCTGTTCACCTGATCACCTGAAGGAGGAAGTATATGAAGTGAACGTGGGCATTAGAGTCATCAGACTGGTTTGGATCCACAAATTAGTGGCTGGGTGCCCTTGGGCAGAGATGATCTACTTCTCTGAGCTTTAAAAAAAATAGAGAGAGAGAGAGAGAGAGAGAGACAGGCATGCCCAATTGCCATTGTTGGCTTGGATTAAACAAGATTCTGATTAAGTGCTTTGAATACAGTCGGTGCTAAATAAATGCAATCTCATTTCCTGCTTTCCTCTCTCTTTACTCTCTCTGTTCTCATTTTCATCTTCTGAAAAATAAGGGGGCGGCCCTTAAGGGTCACATGTGTGGGTAAATGGGGACAAAACAAGATGTCCTGTGACCACTGTCAGAGGAGGGTGACGTGCATGTACTTTCCTTTAAAGGAGATGCTCTATTAGCGAAGCAAAGCACAACAGCACCAACTAGACCCCACCACTACCAACAAGTTACCCCTAAGCTTCTGGGGGGCTGGAGCCTATTTCCAGGGCCATAAACAAGGCCACAGGGTCTCTGGGATTAAGTGTTTTCCCTTAGCCCTGAATGCTTACAGACAGTCGAGACTGTTGGCTTTCACCTTGCCATTCTTTCCAAGCAGAAACAAAGTGCCCAGGAGGCTGTCATTTTCCCAGTCCACCCCAGGGGGCGGGCCTTTGACTTGTTTGTCACGGAAACTCTCGTTTGGGTGATTCCCTTCTACAAAGAACAAACAATTCCTGGGTGGCCACAGACGGGGTCCCTTTCAGAAACACGGAACTTCTTTAGGGAAATCTGTTTCAGATAAAGCGAAGCCACTGCCTTCCAGGTGCCTAAGGAGTTTTAAGGGATGGATGGTCAGAGCCGGGCCTGGCCGTGCTTTCGGGTGCCCACAGAGGGACTCTCGTCCCTGTCCCAAGTCTCCAACCGGCAGCCTGTAAACAAAGCCTGCCATTCCATACCTCACAGGACCCCTGTGAGCCCTCTTTGGAGAGTCACTCGCTCAGTTTTGGCTGTGAATGAAGAACACCTTGTCTGATCAAGTGTGTTGAGATATGCGTGGCTGAGCTAAGGTTCTGGCTGAAAGTGGGGAGAAGTGGCCACCCCACTGTACACTTAAAAGAGGGGGTGGGGAGGTGAGTACAGATTGAGGCAAAGGGACAGAAAGGGACTAGCCAGCCAGCCAGCCACTCCACCAGCCAGCCCGGCTTCGAGCAATTGTATCTCACCCCTCAGAGACATCCTGGTTCTGTGTAAGGGGGCTTTCCATCACCAGGTGCCACAAGCTGTTTCTGGAAGCCCTTTTGCATGCGTACTTCCCCTCCCACAACCCAGAACAAGCCAACCACTCAGGGGCCATAATCCTTTGTTGGGTTTTGCCTTAATTTAATACTTCCGTTCCCTCGCCTGAGCCTTTCAGCAAATGGGTGTTCCGGGAAGGTTTCTAGGTGTGCTTGGTCTGTTACTGGTTAGTGAACATAGAAGCAGAAGAGAAGCCTTTGCAGGGAGCCCTGGGCCCGGCTGCAGGCGACCCCTACCATGTCGCTCTGTGACTGCGTGGCCCCGTAGGCGGCAATGCCATTGGAGGGTGCGGCCGGCTGCGGTGTGTCAGGCTGGATGTACCCTCTTCTGTCGATCAAGCTACAAGAGAAAACAAAACAATATGGAGGAAGAGAGTGACTAAAAAGCCAAAGACGCCTTCAACACTGTTTTCATTTCCATGCGGGACTCCCTCTATCTGTGTGGGGCGCCACCACACGCACCTGGGAATACACCCCGACTCATCTTCGGTACACTCAGTACCAAATTCTGTCACGTCTGCCTTTCACCTCTGCATCTCCCTAGCATCTGTTCCTTCCCTGCCACCTGCCTGCAGGCTCCCACCCTGTCTCCCCAACCCCCGCAACCACAGCCAGCATGGCCACCGGGCTCCGTCTAACGGCCCCGGGGCTGCTAACGTCTCATCGCCCGCTGGCGCTGCTCCGGGGGCCGCTCCGTCACCTGCGAACACTCCAGGCCTCGTAGGACTTGACTTGTCCCAGGTCTCAGCCCACACGCCTTCTCCCTGCAAAGGCAGCGCGCCAAGCCCGTCCCTCCCACGAGCACAGGACACCGCCTGCGCATGCGCCATCGCATGTGCCAGCGTCAGCGCACGCGCCGATGCATGCGCATGCGCGGAAGCCCCAGCCCCAGCCCCAGCTCCGGCCCTGGCCGCACATACCCGGGCTTCGCCACCTCTGCGTTTCCTTCAGGCTCTGGTTTTCTTGCCCCCAGTGCCTCTCCTTTCCACCCCGCTGTCCGTTCCTCATGGCCAGGTTCAAAAGCCCCTGGCCCTTGCTTGCTGCTTCTCTGGATTCTCTGGGCCCTGCGTATGACCCCTCGAGGGGCACATACCACTTTTTGCCTGGTGTCGCCGTGATTTGATACAGTCCCCTCTGCCCTGCAGCCTGCAAGCTCCAAAGGTCAGTCTTTCTCTCTTCTTCCCCCAGATCACCTGCCCCCTCTCCCGCAGAGGACTGGGCCCCTCCGCTGTGCCTCGGAGCACCTGGGGACCCGCATCACATCATGTTGGCATCACCTGTGTCCGCCTCTGCATCTGTCCCGGAGTGTAAGCTCCATCAGGGCCAGAACCAGGTCCTTTTAATCACCCATCTCACAAGTGACACCCACCAGGTGCTGAGAGGAAGCTTGTTGGCTGAATGGACAGAAGTGGGTCCCTTGTCTCCCACAGGCAAGTTTGCTGAGTAGCGGCCTCATTTACGAACAATAAAGCCATCTCTTCTGTACCCTATGGCGCTGCTGCCCAGGCAGAAGGTAGGCAGGAGCTTTACGTTGCCAGCAAAACGGCTGCCCTTCTTCCTCCCTGGGTGAGGGCTCTGTGTTGACCTCGAGTCTAAGGGCAGAGCTGCAAAGAGCGGGAAGAGGTGCAGCTAAAAAGTGGGCGCTCCTGGTGTGGCCCCCACCATCTGGGGCTCGGGCCACGCTCCCCGGAAATGCTGCAGGTGCATCCGATGTGCTCACATACATCCCCCCCGCTGAGGGCGGAGGGCTGGTCGGCCGAGGTTGCCCTGCTACTTGTCAGGCCCCCAGAAGATAGGAGTCACGGCACCCGCCACCTTCAGGTGTTTAGACTGCACAATAACAAAGCATTAAAACAATACTTGTGCCAAGATCTTGGAATGGGGCTCTGCCTCAGTTTCTGTTGGATCCCCAGGGGTTTAGAAAAACCAATAGGCAGCAAGAACCCCCATATTCCAAAAAGCGGTGCTGGAGCCCCCTGCAGCTCAGACCAAGTTTGTGACCCCCTGTGAGGGCGCATAAGATCGAAGGCGGAAAGAGCAGAGAAGGGTGCTGTGGACAGGAGCCGCCTGCACCCTCCTGAGGTCAGGGACAGGGAGGCGGGGCAAGGCTGAGGCCACAAGCAGGTCCCCTGGGAGGCAGCCCGCGTGGGGTCAGGGTGGGACTGTGTCTTTCCAGAAGATACGCTGAAACCCCAGCCTGGGTGGCCGAAGGGGTGGAACGTGTTGCCTTTCTATGAACTCCGGAGCTTCTATTCACTGAGACAATAAGGTTCTCAAGGAAATGAAAGTGCCCTGAGTCCTTTTTTTTTTAAAGTGACAGGAGAAATTAAGGGACTTGCAGGAAATTTCATTCAGGAGAAAAAAAAGAAAAAAAAAAAAAAGAATAGGTCATCAAAAGAATCTGAAAGGGCAGCAGGGAAGACAAAACAAACTCTCAGCCTTCATCCTGTGCACTCAGCCTGTTTAATGGACCAGCCACACTCCCAGACTGTGACATTCTGCCCTAAGTCGCCTTATAATCCTCACAACAGCCCAGGAGCCCCTCCTAATCTGGATGCGCTCCCCTCGCCTTACCTTTTGCTTTGCCCTGTGGTCCCCTCACTCCTACACACGAGCTCCTTCAGTATCTCCTCCTACAGTTTCTCTCCTTACCCCAGGGCCTTTGCACATGCCGCTCCCCTTCCTGTCTTCCCTTAGTTCCCATCCCCCTGTTCTTACTCATCCCTTAGAATATATGACAAGTTAGGACCCCTCCTCTGAAAAGCCCTCCTGGGTATCCCATGGAAGCTGCACTCCACCCTCTGTCACAGCCCCTTTTTGACTGTAGACTTGCCATTCCTATTAAACCTGTCAAGGGCAGGTTGACCCTTCCTTAGCCCCAGCCTGCAGGACCTGACCCTGACCATACCTTAGGAGTGGCCTTTCTGTCTTTCCATCTTTCCATTCCTTCTGCAAGACTTGTATGAGGACCATCTGCCCCCAAAGGTGGCCATTCCTACCCTGCAGCCATGCACACCTCTGGGGACCCACGCAGGGAACCAAATGTGGGTCTTTGCCCTCATGGCTCAGAGCGCTCAGTGAGAAACTTGAAAACACTCTTGGGTTTTTTCTTTTTGTTTGTTTTCTTTTTGTTGTTGTTGTTGTTTTGTTTGAGAGAGAGCATGAGTTGGGGAGAGGGGTGGGGGGGGTAGAGAGAGAAGAAGGTGACGGGGGAGGAACAAAAACAGGCATTGTCCCCTGCTGCATCTGCCTAGGCTGCGGGAGCCCGTCTTCCCTGGGCAGACCCGCGCGCAGTGCATGAGTTCCGAGGGGAGGCCCAGCCTCGACAAATGCCCCGTCCAGAGGGACTTGGGTTTTGGAAAGAATACAGCCCCAACCCAGCCACGGTGGGGAGTTTTATCCGGTTGTGGAAGAAAGAAGTTCGGTTGTGACCAGATTTGATCTACAAACAAAACAAAGCAGCACCAAACGCAAATTGTGGGCTCGGGAACTAGAAGAGAGATTTGTTCAACATGTGAGACTTTTGCATTCTTTTCGTGGATTCAGGCATGTGTTTTAGGTTCGGGGTAGGAGGCCTGAGGCTCTCTGACTCTTACCTTGGAGAGATGGGCCCACACAGGGCAACACAGCAGTTTGTAAAGATATTTCCGTAGCTGTAGGGATTGTAATTTTCTTTACCTCTTTTATTTGACCAAGATCCTTTAATCTGAAAGAAAAGGAGGGCGAATAATATAACATCCTTCATATTAATGCCGAAGTTTAGGTGATTGGGGTCACAAGAAATTCATAAAGAATGCAAATCATCTTTACTCATTTCTTCACCGGGAGAAGCTGAGACACGTTTCTCAAGGAAAACTGGCATTTACCCCAAACTTGGAAAGATCCCAAAACAGCAGGTCATATTAGGGAGAAAGTAACATTCTTTGGGGACAATAATCTCTTGTTTCAACAACACGGTACCAAAAGGCCAGCTCACATAAGCCAGTGGAGATTTTTTTCATACAGCTGGCGTGCTAACCAGTAATTAAACAAATAGTAGGCAAAAGAGTTAACGTGGCTCCCGTAACTCCCCATTTATAGTCTGTCTGAATTCAGCCTCACAATGTTGCCAAAATAATTCCACAGATTTTAATATTCATAGTTACTAAATACAAATTACTCTATGAAAATTCTCTTAACTCCTGTATCTCATAACTACCTATTTTCCCAAGCCTCTAAGGCAATCGACTGATTCTGAGACATTTAATTCCTGTACTAATGGACGCTTCTGACAGAATCTAAATATTCAGAGCAAAGAGGACCAGGCTTATGAAGAACGTTTCCAACATGATGTTTTCCGTTTTTGCATCTCCTCTCCATCTGCATTCAGTATGGGCAGATAATCCTAGACAAAAATAGTTAATCTCTGGGTGGGGGGCTTTCCCCTCAAACAATGTTAAATGTGAAAGGCAGATTCACTCGCTCACCCTAAGGTATCAGTTGGACGTGGTCTCTCTCCAGGGGAGGTATGACAAATTACTCACAAAACTACTGAAAAGGAAGGAATAGACAATAACCCCCTCCCTCAGAGTTTGGAGATGGGGGTCACTCAGCGGACCTTACTATCTAACTGATGTGGTCAGAAAGTAAAACAGGTTAGAGATTCCCAACTGGGGATCATGGAGACCAACCTATGAAAAAGATTCCCCTTTTGCTACCAGAGGCTCACATCTGGAATGAGATGTGCGGAAGGCCTTGGCCCCTGAGCTCTTCTCCCGGTCCCCCCTCCGCCTCTGGACGCAGATGCACACATCCACCCCCTAGACCGCTGGGAACTCACATCTTCATTTGTCGTCTGGTTGGAGCTGATCAGGTATGTGTGGAAACCCGACAGGCCGACGATAGACCAGACGGAGAAGAAGCACACCACGGCCTCCAGCACAGTGGCCTGGAGTCAAGGAGAAGAACGGGGGGTGGGGGGGTGGGAAAGGGCAGGAAAGGCTCTCAGGGTGCCTTCGCAGTCAGGATGATGTGAGATTTGGACGGGAGGCCCCCAGACACTCACCGAGGCCTCTGAGTCTATCTAGCTTTGTCCCTAACCAGAGGGGGACACTTCAGGGCCAGCACTGGCTTCTGATTCACCTCGTTCGTGCTCAATCAATGATCAGTGGGCTCCCAGAACAGTACTTGTTTACTGCTTCATGGTGGATAGTTCCTCTGACCGTCTTCCCCACCTGCCCTTGGCCTTTTCCTGTGACTCACTGCGCAGCCAATGACTGTGACAGCGAAGCCAGGAAGCACGCTGGCCGGAGTTGGAAGCGGCCCAGGCCTGCTAGGAAAGGACTCAACATTGAGCATGAACATCACTGCAATCTCAGAGTCTAATCTCAGCTTCTGAATGCTGGGCACTGTCATATCAACAGGTTTCTTCCCCAACTTGATGTTGAGGCTGAGTGAAGGGTCACACAATAGTTGACAATTGTGAGCAGGGCTGGCCAGTGGCAACTGTAGCCTGGGCAGGGCTTACCTTCATGGCTTCCTCTCTCCCTGCATCCTTTTACCCACTGGTGGCTGCCGCCTCCACCTATGGGTGGGCTTCTGAACCAGTGTCAAGGTGAAGGGTGTTTTTACTTAGAGGACTCTTTCCTGCACCTTAGCCCACTCAACACCGAAGGCTGTTCTCAGCTTTTTGATGGGCAACTAGGAAATGTGGTTGCTCACCAGACGTTGACTGATGGGAAGTCCCAAGTTCCACAAAATGTGCTACAACCAGAGGAGAAAAAGTGTGGTATCCTTCAACAGATGAGATAAATCAACCCAGAGTGTGGAAGTTTGAAAGAACTAGAGAGTTTTTCTGTTCCACAAATGTTTATAAAATTCTATTTACAAGATATAGATGTTTCTCCGGGGAAAAAAATATTCCTCATAGGTCTGAGAGTTTAAATATACACATGCATCCCCCATCAATAAGTTACAGGCTGGAGAAAGTAAACACCCAGGCTTTCCTAATGCTCTCGAGGGTAGAAGCCATAGATCACGCTGTAATACATCACCATTGATTTTTTTTTCAGGATTGGATATAATTCATCTTTAGACCAGAGAAATGAATACAGTATTCAGTACAGTGCCATAATCTGCCATGTCATTATTAACAAATACCACTGTCCAGGCACGTGGGGCAAAATACAAAGTCGGAGAAATGAATAGGCTCTTGCCTGTGGATTGACTGACTTTCACCATCAGGATAGACCACTGGCTCTGCTCTTGGAGAAGCAGAAGAATGCTTTGCTCTTCTAAGGTTTAAGCTTCAAGAAACCGCAAGCCTTCAGAAAAGCACTACCCTGAAATTAAATGGACATCCGAGGAAGAGAAGAATGTTCTGCCAGCTTGCTAAGACGAAAACAGCCCAGAGCACCCAGAGTCAGATGGAGGCCAGCACACGCTGCCCCCCGTGGGCCCTGCCCATTCCTCCTGGAGGCAGGAGTCGGAAAACAGGGAGGAGTTGCGACATCTCTCGAGACCTAGGCGGGTATTTTGGAGAAGCAGGTAAGTCCAGATGTAGAGGGAGGATCTGTGGGGTAAGAGATGCAGAGAAGCAGATCCCCACCCAGATCTGCCACCAGCCTGGGAACCCCGCTCATCTCTCCTACGGTTATCAGGTGGCGGATGGGGAGGCCTCAGGTGCACGTGGGGACACACAGATGGTGTGGCAAGATGGTTTCATTCTTCAGGGCCTTCTCACAAGTGAAGCTCACAGGTGCCCCTCTTCTAACTGTCCCCCCCCATCCTGGGGACAGACTGGGGGGCAAACTACGTGGGTGGAGTGGAGTCCAGGGAAAATGATGGAGGTAAGCAGCGGGAAGCCTGAGTCAAGGAAAAGCAGGTGACACTGGGAGGGAACTTGCACAGGCTGGAAGGAAAAGACAAGAGATAGAATAATCAAAGAGGAAGGGACACATGAAATGGATGCAAGAAATGATCAGGATAGGAAGGAGAATAAAGAATGAAAGCCAAAGATTTATTTGCTGAATAACGTACAAAGAGTCCAACCTCCATCTCAGAAATACTTCTGTGTCACCAAAAGTTTACAGTCCAGGTAGAATGATGGTGATGTCAAAATACACATAAGTTCATATGCGCGAACCATATAAAACCTGGCATGTCCATGTGAAGGAGAATCACAGCCTTTAAAGTGGCACTGACTGCCCTTTTTCTGGTGGCTCTTCCCTTTGCAATGCCGCTTAAAATTATTACTCCCCAAAGGAGGCGTTGTTACCGGTGGACATGGGATTTTAAAGGCTTATAGGTCCAAAAATAAACTAGCAGATCTCTTTATTAATATCTCATGAGCTTCAGAGGCATTTTATAAATAGCAGAATGCTGTCCCATTGTTATCTCATAGCTGTGTCAAAATGACATGAATTCAAGGCAAAATGCAAGATGCAGCTCTCTTTCCTTTGCCCCTCACTGCAGAACCGCCCCCCCCCCCCCCCCCCCCCCCCCCCCCCCCCCCCCCCCCCCCCCCCGGCATGTCTTAAGAAGCTGTCATCATCATTCACAACAATGGCTGGTGTCTCTGGCTGGGGATCAGGTGGTACTCAGAAGGCTTCATACGGATTAAGTCACTTAATCCTCAGTGGCCCAGTGAGAAGTGTGATTCTTACTTACCCAGCAGGGAAACCGAGGTAGAAAGCAGTTAAATACTTTGCTTGAGAAAGCCCTGGGCTGGTTCCTTTCCTATTCCCGCTGACATCCCCAGGACTCTAGGCTGACCACAACCCCTGTGCGGGGAGATGGGGACCCTCTTTGTCAGGGATTTGTGAACCTCTGGCAGCTTAAGTAGACCACTCTCAGGCTGGGGAACAAATATTTGAACAATGCATCCCCTCACTGACTTGAGAGCCAGATGTTGCAAACATCTATGCCATAATAGGATTAATATAAAATTTTCATAAACCATCCTAAGCCATTTACTGATAGTTTTAAAAGAGGAAATGAGGAAGAAATACACCAACTCGACTAAGAGCCAATTTAATAAGCAGTTGGATGTCTATTGTATCAGAGATGGTTCAAAATTATTATAGCAGTTACGACCACCAGCCTCTTTCTCCCTCCAACCCCCAATAAGACAGCGAGTCCCTTTTGTGGCCGGGGGTGTGGCATTAAATTAAGTTCTACCCCAAGATGTCGCACTTTGAGGTACTCACTAGATGACTGTGGAGATGAAAAAGACTGAAAAAATGCTGATGGGCAACAGCCCTCCATTGAGTTTCCGTGCAATCGCAGAAGTGCCTGCTCTGTGCCCTTCTGTGCGGCCAGCCCCCTACTTAGGACAGAACAGGGAGGGATTCCCTTCCTGCCCTAAGGGACCTGTTTGCCCTTGGAAACATAAGCGAGGTGAGAAGGCCTTGCAGATACAAGGGAAGAGCGCTGGACAGAATGGTGAGGGCATTTCAGTATTTGGAAAATCATAAAAGGTGAGAGATCATGGAACCAAAGATTTTTAACCTTTCTGGGTTCCCACTCTTTTCTCAGAAAAAAAAAAATGCACACACTTTTTTTTCCCCTTCTGATTGCAGTTTAGAAACTCTCCTGACACCTTTCCATAGATACACATGGACCTCAAGTTAAAAAGTCCTGTTTATTTTAATCCCTTAATTTTACAGGTAGGAAGCTGAGGCCCAGAGGGGTCAAGCCAGTAATTTACATGATAGACACTTTGACAATGGAAAGTCATGGAGACCCTTCAGTGTGGATCACGTCACCTTCATCTTTCAGTCTCTCAAATCCCTTTCTCCTATATTCCTTTTTACCAGGAAATAAAGACGTGAAGTTTTCCCAACTTAATCTATGAAGTCATTTTAATTCCAATCAAAATTCCAACTGGAATTTTAAAAAAGGAATTAGACAAACTGACTCTAAAATTCATCAGGAAGAGAAAACGTGCAAGAATGGGTAAGAAAACGTGAAAAAATATCTTGGGTGGGGGGAGGGGAGGACACCTTTAGTAAACAAAACAGCAGAGTCTGAAACAGACCTGTGGGCACGTGGGCTACAGAAGACATTTTAAATGAGTGGTGAAAGAATATACTGGCGGCTCTCAAAGTGTGGCCCGTGGGCCCTTGGGGCCCTGGAGATCCTTTCAGGGAAACCCCCAGGTCAGAGCTATTTTCCAATCAACGCCAAGACATTATTTCCCAGTCTTAGAGCTTCTGTTATTCAGGGACCTCATTTGGAGGCTGCCAGATGCAAGATGGATGGATGGCCTCCCTCCCATCATAATAGGGTTAAGTGCCTGTGCATTCTGTGTTTCAGAAATTTCTCAGTTGTGGTTTCAAACGTGACCTCTAGAAATATATATATAATCTACCTAAACAAAAGTTTTTTGGGTTCAATAATTTTTAAGAGTCTTAAGGAATCCTGAGACTTAAAGTTTGAGAACTGCCAAAACAGAGCAGTGAGCAGCTCCGGGACACTTCCCTAAAAACAAAGTGAGAACTTTAGCTACACACACACACACACACACACACACACACACACACACACACGTAGATTACTGATAAATTACTGTGCCAAACTGAAGAAATAAAATGTAAGGGTATTAGAGGGAAATAAAGGACATATTCCTATAATTTGGGGGTACAGGTCTAAGGCACAAAATCTAGGAGTCATGTAGTATCTCATTTATAGATTGATTTTGTTAAAAGTTAAGCATTTTTTTTGTATTAAAATAAACTTAACAGGTAAGTGACAGGTTGGGAAAAAATATTGGCAAGAGATATTAAATGGTTGTTATTGAGAACGGATAAAGAACATATTAATAGGAAAAGAACAAACAACCCAATTACAGAATGGACAGAGATTGTGAGCTGCCCTATTGTGGTGATGAAAAAACATGTCAACAAACATGGAAACAAGCACAAGCTGATTGTTGGCCAGAAAA